TGTCACAGGGCTTAAGCTAGACACCTTCTCCCAAGCAGGGTGCATAACACTTGATTGTATAAAATCAATTATTGGCTTCAAATCTTGGTCTTTCTCCTGCTCTGCTTTAATATGTATATTTGGTTTCACTTCACCATCATCAACTCCTTCAGTCACTTTGACTTCAGCTTGATGGCACCTAGTCAGTTCAACCTCATTTTAACACTTACTGGAATTTGGCCTTTGTTGTTCCCAAACGTCATTTTATCAAAATTAACTACACACTTCCTCGGTATTAAATAGTCCAATCCTAATATGCATTGGTCTTCAGTGTCAGCCAACTATACTTTGTGTCTGTCTTTTATGCCCATGAGCTCAATAGTTACCCACACTGGTCCCCACAACCTTGTATAATGTCCTATCACACCACAGAGCTTCTGTATGGCTTCTGGTACTCCTTTGTGATCCAGCATCTTTATACTCACAAGGGTTTGCTGAGATGCAGAATATATGACAAAGTTGCACTTTCGGCCATCCAGCTTTCCTGTCATGTAGACACTATGTGTGCTTGGCATTTTACACCTAGCTGTGTTAACATTGTGTGACTTCCGCTGTCATAACACATTCTAGAATGTTTCAGATATAAATTGCATTCTTCATCCACAGCAGGTCAAACTTTCAGATAAGCCAGGAAGTTACATGTAACAAACATTTATTAAGCACCATATTCATCAACTCAAGTTTCATAAAATACATTACAATTCCCAGTTGTCTTTTTCATTCAAGTAGTTACCAGGCAATATTAAATAACTGGGTGTAAGTAAGATAAACTTACCTCCAGACCTCCCCTTCTTACATTCTGATTTTGATGTTCCCTTATTTACCACCAATGTAAGGGCCTTCGTTTCATTTTTATTTCATTTTACATTTATTTGGAAGGCAGTCACAATCCCACAACTGTCTGCAGACAGTGAAGCTTGATATAGATGTGGGAAGTAGCTGTCTAGAGCACAAAGTTCTTGCTCTCCTAACTTATTATTATCATTATTTTTCTTACTTATTTTACGTTTATTCTCCTTTCTATGGTGTATCCCCAATGCAGTGTGGGTCATATTCCACAATCGCCTCCAAATTCCAGGCACATCTTATATCCTACATTATAACCTGTGCAGGAACGTGGAGAGCCAGCACGGGCCCCGGGGCAAACATCCTCGCCCCCCCCCCTCTCTTTTTTTTAACATTTTCAATAATTTATTAAAAGGAAAATCCTAAACTAGGACAGCAACGGGTTCCTAAACCAGACAAAATCATAGCAGCAGCCGTTCTTACCTCACAGTATAAGCGTAAAAACCCTAATAAAGTAGCAACAAATATCTATTAAATCTACAAAGTAACAAATACATATTAATTATTACTCAAATTATATTTCAGTGGTTCTTAATGTATCAAGCGTCTATATGCAAAG